GATATCAATGATATTGTTCGATAATTTCCACACTCTGTTAGATCATATTTCTTTGGACTCTTCCAGTCATTTGTCCAAGTGGTTGTCCTCCAGATTTCTTGGCACAACTTGGTGAGCACATCTAGGGCAGCATATGTTAGTTGAAGTACATCAATTGGTATACCATCAATTCCTGGACCTTATTTTTTGCCAATTCCTTCAAAGCAATTTGAACTTCTTTCATCACAATAGGCTCTTGCTCAATGTTGTTTCAGGAAATTCTTCTGTGTATGCCAATTCCTTTCAGCACAGTGACTCTGTATACTCTTTCCATTAATTCTTCCTGGGTCATTTAATATTCTGCCAAAACCTATATTGGACTAGGAAGCAGTCTTCAGAACAGAGCAAGAAAACTCTGCATCGTTCAAAATTGGGAAGGCTGTAAGCCAGGGATGTGTCCTATCTCCTCCATACTTTTTCAACCTATATGCAGATTATCCTGGAGGCTGGGAGAAGTGTGGCATCAGAATCATCAACAACCTGCATTATGCAGATGACACAACCCTGCTTGCTGAAACTGAGGAGGACCTGAAGCACTTGCAGCCTTCAATATGGATTGAGGCTAAATATCAAGAAGACAAAGATTCTCACCACTGTGCCAGATGGCAGCATCAGGATGGATGGTGAAGAGATTGAAATTGTAACAGCTTTAGTTTCCTTGGCTCCACAACATTCTTGGCATCAGCAGCCAGGAAATGAAAAGATGCATTGAGATGGGAAAGTCTGCTGTTAGGGACCTCTCCAGGGTACTGAAGAGGATTGGTGTCACTCTGGAGACTAAGGTGCGCCTGATACAGGCCATGGTCTTTGCAATCACTTGCTATGCATCAGAGAGCCGGACAATGACTAGGGAAGATAGAAGGAGAATTGATGCCTTTGAGCTGTGATGTTGGAGAAGAGTATTCACTATACTATGGACTGTTAAGAAAATGAACAGGTTCATCCTGGAGAGGATTAAACCAGGCTGCTCCTTGGAGGCAAAGATTCTGAAGCTTTGTCTGATATACTTTGGACATGTTCCAAGGAGGGACCAGTCTTTAGAGAAGGACATCATGCTTGGGAGTGTGGAGGCACAGCACTAGAGAGGAAGACCCTCAATGAGATGGATTGATTCAGTGACTGGGGTAATGGGAGTAGGTGTGTCAGAGACAGTGAGATTGGCACAGGATCGAACAGGGATTAGGGCTGTTGTACATAGGGTAGCTATGAGTTGCAGGCAACCTGACAGCACATAACAACAACAACAAATTTCATAAGAACACAAATAATGTGTTCTGGAATTCCTATTCTTCACACTGTCACAATATTTTGTTACAATCTAGTTGAATGCCCTTATTTAGTCAATGCAATGTAAATAACATCTTTCTACTATTGTCTGCTTTCAGCCATGAACCAGCTAGCATCCACAATGATATCCCCCATTCCATGTCCTCTTATACTAACTCTGTCTTGAATTTTTGTGAGTTCAGTGTTGATGTGCCAGTATAACTGTTTTTTTGAATGATCCTCAGCAAAATTTTACTTGTATTTGACAATATCACATGCTGTTTGATAATTTTCGTATTCCCTTAAATCACTTTTTATGCAATGGTGTAATAAGTAACACTCAGTTTTAAATAGTAACAATATTGTCTGGGTCCTATGGCTCAGATACAATAATTTAATTCAGAAATGACTTAAACAAGATTATTTCTCTTTCACAAATAGTTTGGATTTGTGCCAGTACCAGAGAGATAAAGTGGCTCTTCGATCCTCAACATACGGCTTCCATCTGTAACTTTGAAAGATGGCACTTCTGCCCCTGCCATCATGCCAAGGGTGTGATCTAGACATTATGTCTAGTTTTTCTTCTTATTTTATTATATGTTGTTGTGGTGGTTGTTATGCACCATCAATTTAAGAGCTGACCCTCTAGTGGGTTTTTGAGGGCATAAATCACATGGAAGGAACTTGCTATCTTCTCCCATGGAATAGCTAGTATATTTGAACTGCTTGGCTTTGGATTGGTAGTGCAACTCTTTGATCTTCTGAAATTTGTTGAGACTTGCTTTATGGCCCTAAACACGTCTGACTTTAGTAAATTATCTACATTTTAGTTGTGTAGTTCATAGTCTGCTGTGCTGCTGGTCTAAAGACCTTAGTTCTCTGTCGATTTTAATTCACCAACCTATCCTGAGGTTTTTGTTGTTTTTATGCACCATTGAGTCAGAATCGACCCATAACCGACCCTCTGGCAGGTTTTCAGATGTAGATAATCAAACAGGAGGAGACTGCCCATCCTTCTCCTGCAGAGCAGCTTTTAGTTTTGAACTGTGTACCTGCAGGATTATAGCAATTTCTTAAAATTAGGCTACAAGAGCTTCCTATTAAAAAAAGTGATTTAATAGATTGTACAAATTATCAAACAATATCATTAATATCAGATTAAAGCAAAATATTGAAAAAGACTAAAAATGGCTAGAACAGTACACTGACAGAGAACTGCCAGAAGTTCAAGCTGTGTTTAGAAGAGGCATCAGATGGATATTGGCTGAAAGCAGAGGATACCAGAAGAATGTCTTATCTGTGTTTGATTGTGCAAAGGCATTTGACTGTGTGGATCACAACAAACTAACACTGAGAAGATTTGGAATCCTAGAACACTTTGTTATGCTTATATTAAATCTATACCTAGACCAAGAAACTGTTGTTTGAACAGTGCAAGGGAATACTGCATTGTTTAAAATCAGGAAAGATATGTATCAGGGTTGTAGTCTTTCTTCATACCTGTGCACTCTGTATGCTGCACAAATAATTTGAGAAGCTGGGCTCTGTGAAAAAGGATTAGAGGAAGACTATCAACGCCTATGGTGTGAAGATAAAACCTTGCTTGCTGAAAGTAAGGAGGACTTGAAATACTTGCTGCAGAAGATCAAAGACTATAGCCTTTGAATAGATTCTATCTCAATGTCAAGAAGTGCCAAATCTTCACTACTAAACAACAATCATCATAAATGGAGAAAAGATTGAAATTGTCAGTGACTTCTTCTTACTCAGATCCACAATCAATACCCTTTGTACCAGCAGTCAAGAGATCAGGAGACATATCGCATTAGGCAAGTCTGCTGTCAGGAATCTCTCCAAATTACTGAGGAGTAAGATATCAGTTTGAAGACTAAGATGTGCCTGATTCTGGCCAGGGTCATGTCAATCACTTGCTATGTATCTGAGAGCTGGACAATGAATAAGGGGGACGGAAGAAAAAACAATGCTTTTCAGCTGTGATTTTGGAGAAGTGGCAAGAGAACAAACAGATGTCTTGTAAAGCACAGCCAGAATGCCCCTTGGGGGCAAAGATGGCAAAACTGCCTCTCACAATCTTGAATATGTTGTTAGAAGAGACCATTCCTTGGAGAGGGACATCATGTTTGGGAAGGTGGAGGGTCAGTGATAGAAAGGAAGAGTTTCAGTGAAATAGATTGACACAGTGAGTACAGCACTGGGCCCACATGTGTCAGAGATGATGAGGATGGCACAGGATATGACAGGGTTTAAGTCTATTACTCATAGAGGTTGTATGAGTCGTACTTGAAGGCAACTCAAAACAAGAACCACTATTTATATCTATATGTCTTAGCCTATAAAATAATTTTCTCTGGATAAGAAAGGGTTCAGAGCTGCTGTACATAGGATCGCTACACATGGTAGGCGACTCCATGGCACATAACAACAGTAACATACTGTGACAGGTTTGGAAACAGGAGAGGCATCCACTTCCTAAACAACATGCCTCCGGAAACTATGAACTTTGATAAATGTTGATCGTTGTAGCGGGCCTTCAGGTCTTTTGTTCATAGGGTCACTATGTCGTGCTCGACTTGAAGGCAATCAACAACAATAACAATGAAAAAACATCCACTTTTGACCACCCTTCAAGGATCTGTCAGAAACATCCTTGCTGGACACGTGTTCCCTTTTTTACTCAATATTGATTCATCCCACAGTTCTCTAGCCATAACTAGTTGTGGTAGATACTATACTAGAGTAAATGTAAGTGATATAAGTGGTTTAGAGTACTGGTCCTTAGGATATGAAGTGTTTCTGATGTTTAGCAGTTTTTGCTGCCCAGTCCTTTACACCAGTTCTCAGCACACATACACTCCCTGCTCTCCACTGGGATAACTAAGTGTCTCTCTCTTGACTTACCTAGATCTGGATCAGGCCTGGACTTTCCAGCCCATTGTCTCATCGTGTTGTACCTACTGGGCAGTTCAGTCAGAGCACCGTACGGATGCCCAGAGGTGTCAGGACTATTACTCCAAGGGCTGCGAGTAGGAAAAAGAGTTGGTGGGATTTCTTTTTCTCTGTAAAAAGAAAACACATTTAAATTAAATAAATCATTTAAAAATCCCACAACAAATGACCCATTATGCAGTTGTATTCGGGATGAAAGTACAATTAAAGTAGAAGCATTTTGACACCTGACTGGATGGCTCTCCCAGACCTTAAGGGGCAGAACATTTATCATAACATTACAAGAACTTTCCTAGGAATAAATAACATACTTGCTATCTTCATCCACAGCAGCTATTCCTCTAGGATAGGTAGAACATGAAATTCTAGGTGATGTGCTTTTCCTGCTGTCTACAATACCCAAAACCAACTCCACTGAGTCAATTTGTACTCAGAGTGGACCCTACTGAAGAGGGAAGAACTGTCCCCTAGGGTCTCCAAGGCTTTAGTTTTTTTTCATTAAAATTTTATTTTAATTGTGATTTTAATGAATGTTTAAAGAGAAGTTAGATTTTCATTCATTTATTGTTGCACATTTTACCCATCTCCCTCCCTTCCCACTCCCCCAGTTCACTTTAAAAAAATTCATTCATTGTTACACAATTACCTAGCTCCCTGACCTTCCCCTTCCCTCAGGACTCTTTGCAGTGATGTACCTCTTATACTGGGCTGTTGTTGTATATATAATGTCTAACCATTTATTCCTTTTAAATAGCTCTTTCCTTCCTCTATTTCAATGCAGTGTTCATTTTCTACCCATTCTTCTCCTATTCAAAGTTGACTGTCACATATTCTCCCACAGAGTGACTATGTGTTTGAACTGCCAACCTTTTGATAAGGACCTGGGTGTCTAAGCACTTCTAAATACTTGGAGGAAACTTCTCCTTGTTACAGTCTTCTCTCTAATAGCAATGCCAGTTAGAAATTAAATGATTAAGAGGTGTCACAATATCCAACAAAGATGAGCAACCTTAATCCTTCTGTTCACTCTGTTTCTATGCTTTTCCTATGGGCTCTAATTGAAATTGTTGTGTTTTATGAAATTGTTGCTCAGTTTGGTCAAACACTGGGAGGGAAAGTTTAGAGAGCATTATGCTGAGTGAACTAACTCCATCCTATAAGGACAAATACTACATAAAACCTTTACTGTAAAAACAGAAGGGTAGTTAGTAAGATGTGCATAAAAGCCCAAAGGGGGAAGGAGAGCAGAGGGGCTGAGGATTAGAGGAAATCACGGGTCACAGAATTTGGTGGGTGAGGGAGGGGGTGAAGGAATAAGAATACATTTAGTGGAGACCTGAAAAGACAGGATGATAGGGGGGCATAGATCAATAGTAGTTAATTTTATAAAATAACAGTTTTGGGGAATGTTTATATGAAACAATGTGAATGAAGGAATGTGTGAAACACAATGCACATGAATTAAACACAATGTATATGAATTTTATATGCAAACCAATACTAAAAAGTCATACAGAGTGTGCATAAAAATTGTGGTTTTAACTGTTACTAATTTATATATTCATCAATACCTATTTACCTCCAGCTCACTTTCAATTGATAGCTTAGGTATTAACTGTAGGATGAGTTCAGTTAAAAAACAACTTTTTACCTCATAAGAACTTGAACTTGTCCCACATGATGTAGTAATGTCTCTTCTTGATCTTGTCTTCCTTTGGGAGCTGTGGTTGTAGCTGTCGGCAACTGGAACACGTTCTTTTGAAGTGTAGCTACCACAGAGTGACTATCAAATTCAATGTCAGTCTCTATTTTCTCCCATCTTTGCTTCCAGTGAATAGGAGTGTACCAGGCAATAGCCTAGCAAAAATGGTTCACAAATATAAAATACCATTGATATTAGAGTTAAAACAACCCCACACCAACAATGCTGTAGGCTTATTGCAACATAGTATCATCAAGTTGTAGAAGGCACTTGCCTACTATATTTGAGTAAGGATATTATAAGAAATCTTAGCATTGATTTCCAGTTCTGTGAATTATAAGCTATGTGACTTTAGGTGGGTTTAGTCATATACCATCATGGATCCTGGTGGAGAACTGATTCAGGAGAGTGCTATGGTAATCATCTACACTACAGGGTTTCCTTAGCTATAAAAAAAATATTGTGAGAATAGCAGCTGTATTGTGATAACTGTAAGTAGTATAAAAGTTCAATTTTAAATATTTCAGACTCTACATATACTGGTGTTTTATTTGGAAGGGAGCAATAAACAGGAGCAGTAGAGGCGGAGAAGATGAGATCATAGGAGAGAGTATTACAGAGACTTGTGAGTTTGACTAGTAGAGATGGTGTTTGTTTCAGTATTCTGAATATGTATCAGGTGTACAACATGTATGTACAAAACAATCCAGAAAATTCAAACATAGCATCTCGCTAGTCAAATAATATGCTATCTTTACAGTCAAAGACAAGCTTAAGCATCCAAGTTTGCAGTAACATTTTATTCATTCCAGTGATCTGTTTTTAGCTTCTAAAATTATAGAGTCGGGGGTTTATTCCATGACCACTGGAAAATCCTAACTTCAGTTTGACAAACTAAATAAGCCTAAAAATATCACCAGAATCCAGGAAGATGTTTTATCGACTATGCAAAGGTGCTTGACTGTGTGGATCATAACAAATTTTGGCTAAGATTGAGAAGAATGACTCTCCCAGAACATTTAATTTTGTTCATGCAAAATGTATAACTAAACCAAGAAGCAGTTGTCCAAACAGGGTAAGGCAGCACTTATGGTTTAAAAATCAGAAAAGATGGGTGTCAAAGTTGTATTTTTTTTCCAAACATATTCAAACTGTATATAGAACAAATCATTTGAGAAAGTGGACTATATAAAGAGGGATGTGATTGTCAGGATTGGAGGAAAACTCATCAACCACCTGCATTATGCAGATGACACAACCTTGTTTGCAGAGAATGAGGAAGACTTGAAGTAATTACTATGGACTATCAAACACTACAGCCTTCAATATAAATTACACTTCATAAACAAGAAATTAAAAATCCTCACCACCAAACCAATAGGCAAAATCACATCAGGTGGAGAAAATATTGAAGTTGTTAACTATTTCATTTTATTTGGATCCACAATCAGCATCAGTGGTAACAATAATCAAGAATTCAAAAAGATACGTTGTATTGGAGAAATCTGCTGTCAAGGATCTCTCCACAGTTCAATGAGCAAGGATATTAGTTTCAATACCAAGGTGTATTTGATCCAAGCCTTGGTATTTTCAGTTGCTTCCTATGCATCTGAAATTTGGACAATGACTAAGGAAAAGTAAAGAAGAATCAATACCTTTGAATTGTGATGTTGGCGAAGAGTATTGAAATTGAATATACCCAGGCTGCCGAAAGAGTATACACATTGGTCTTAAAAGAAGTACAATCAAAGCGCTCTTTAGAGGAAAGGATAGTGAAACATTGTCCTATTTACTTTGGACATATTTTCAAGAGGATCCAGTCTATTGAGAGATATTATGCTGCGAAAAGGTAGAGGGTCAACCAGAGAGAGGCAGACCCTCTGAGAATAACTGATGTGATAACTACAATGGGCTTGAATATGACAGAGATCATGAGAAAAGTTCAGCATAGGGTAAGGTTTAGAACTGTTGTTTATAAGGTCACTGTACGTTGTAGTTGACTTGATGACACCTAATAGCAGTACCAAAACCAACAGAAGGCAAGTTCAAAATAGGCCTACAGTACAGAAATAAAACAATGAAATCCTTTCTAAGAAATCAAATTTCATAGATTATAACAGGAAAATCACACTTTTTCTGCAGATCAGCATCTAGAGATTTGCCCCTCTCAGTGGCTCACACAGCCGTTTGTGTTGAAAATGCATTCATTATCTTTTTTGGTGTATTCTCCATCAACTTTATTGCAAACCTATTCTAGAGGAGAACATTATCTTATTTCTCATGGAACAATAAGGATTTAAAAATATTTGATGACAATGATGATGATACATGATAAAATGTTTTTAATTCTATTTCTGGAATAGAAGAGATACAGGCCATGGTCTTTGCAAACACTTGTTATGTGTCAGAGAGTTGGGCAATGACCAAGGAGGATAGAAGGAGAATTGATGCATTTGAGCTGTGGTGATGGAGAATAGTATGGAATGTACCATGGACTGCTAAGAAAACAAACAGGTTCATCCTAGAGAGGGTTAAACTGTGCTGCTCCTCAGAGGCAAGGATTCTGAAGCTTCCTCTGACATTCTTTGACTGGTCCTTGGAGGAGGACATCATGCTTGGGAGGGTGGAAGGACAGCACAGGACACGAAGGCACTCTATGAGGTGGATTAATTCAGTGACTGGGGTAATCGGGATGGGTATATCGGAGACAGTGCCATTGGCACAGGACAGAGCAGAGTTTAGGGCTGTTGTACCTAGGGTTGCCATGAGTCGCAAGAAACTCAACGGCACGTAACAACAACAACAACATTCCTAGAATGTTGGCCATAAAAGCCTTGTACACTTTTTTT